AGTATGAGTCCTCCAATAATGACAAAAGAAGGAAATATGTAGTTTGTCCTAGTAAATGTCTAAAGACCCAATTTTCACATAGATTTTTCTGTTTCCTGGGAGGTTACCTTTATAATAAATTGAATAAACGTTTATTAATTTACTCTCTAACAAAACATGCATGTAAACAAACATTACTGAAATGGTTGCTAAATATCGATTATAAGGCTGCTGAAAATTTACTGACAGTATTATCCTAAAAACACATACCTAATACAAACACACACACACACACACACACACACACACACACACACACACACACACACACACACACACACACACACACACACGCGCGCGCGCGCACGCACGCACTATTTTTATTTATATAGAAATAATTTAAAAAAACCATATAGAATCATTCCTTGTAGTATAATTGAAAATGTAAATATTATGTGCAATTCGTTAGGGTGAGGGCCTGGTGATCTATAACACAGGGATTACCCTAGTATGGACACCAGTCTCTCACAAAGGTTACAAATTCTCTGCAACCGTATTATTTACCTAAGTAATAATGTGAAATTTTATACCTTTGTGAAGAGGAAATAAAAATGATTTATTATTTATTTATTATTTATTTAATGTGTAAGTTGCAAGTTCCCCACAAACCTACCTAATTGGGTATTCACTTATACAATTATAAACTATTTCATCGTCATCTTTGATTTTGTACAAGAAAATAGAAATGAAATGGTACTGAATAATTTAATAGTTAACATCAATTTCAATTATTATTGAGAGATAATTAATATATCAGAGTTAACCTAAAAACTAAAAATAATTATTTTACTTTATATTAATCGATTTTCCGTTTTTAATCCTTCCAATACTTTGAGTTTATAAAATAAGGTACGTCAAAACTACTCTTCTCATACTCGATATCATTACTCCAGTTCTCACTCACATCATCAATTTCTCAATTTCTACCAGTGTTTTCCCCAAATTGTGGCTAAAAGCTTTTGTCTTGCCCCTTGCTAAAGTACCAAATCAATCGCTTCTTTGCCATTTTAGACCTATTTCTATACTGCCGTTTCTTTCCAAAGCATTTGAATCATTGGTACAAAAACAAGTCACCTATTTCATTTCAAAATGAAATTTCCTAAGTAGATATCAGTCTGGCTTCCGCCCGGGATACAGTACAATCACAGCATTACTTCCAGTTACAGAAGACTTTAGAGATGGCATGGAGAGGTCATGTTTGACTGTTCTCGTCCATATTAACTTTTCAAACGCATTCTTTACGTGGTAGAGCCATGCCACAGCTATATTCGTAGTATAGTTGTAGCACAAATGGGTCGGCTCGACCGAGGAAGGACCACGCTCTCACAGAAAATCAGCGTAAAATAGCAGCTTAACGCTGCTGTGTTTCGTATGGTGAGTGTAGAGAACCGGAGACCCTTTTTACTGGCAAAGAGGCATTTCATCTTAGTCCTCACGGGTGACAACGCATCTGCATCTTGAGTCTTTATTGAGGATAGATGTAGATGTCTATGGGTCACAGTAACCACTTACCATTAGGTGGACTGTGTGCTCCTTTGTCACACTATTCTATAAAAAAAATTCAATTTTGTTGATCACGACTTACTCCTTGAATTATTTTCACGACTAAATTTCTCCTCATTAGCACTGAACTGGTTTTCTGGTCAGGATTTTTCCGACTGGTGCGATCTATCTCTAGGTGTACCGCAAGGCGGCATTTTTTCTCATCTCTTGTTTTCAGTATTTATCAATCTCCTTACTATTCACCTTCAATGTTCCACCACTTCTATGCTAATTATATCCAGTTATACTCAAACCCGTCCTTAACTGAAATTGATACTGCTATCGCAGCTAATAATCGTGACTTACAACGTATATCACACTGGTCACAGCGCTTTGGTATAACGGTAAAACCCAATAAATGCCAGGCTATCGTCATTGGTAGTCCTCGATTGGTGTCACAACTTAACATATCTGAACTACCATCCATTTACTATGAAAATCGCGTAATACCCTTCAGAACTAGTGTCAAGGATCAGGGTTTAATTATCGATCCGTCTCTTAGTTGGATATCACAAGTGTCCGAGGTTTGTCATAAAGTCACAGGCATACTTCGTTCCCTCTATCGCCTTAAGTTGAAGCCTCCTTCAACTAAACGTCTTCTCGTCTAATCTCTAATTCTTCCATTATTTGACTATTCCGATGTTTGTCTAACTAATATTTCTCAGGAGCTGTTAAAAAGATTGGACAGGTTACTTTAACTATATCCGATTCATCTTTGGCCTGCGTAATATGGTCACGTTTAAGAATTTCACTCTCAGTTAAAGTGGTTGACAGCACAGAGATTTCCGAATCCTCTCCACTATGTTTTCAGTTCTTAATGATTCTTCCTCACCCCTTTATCTAATAGAAAGATTTCAATTCCGTAGTGACTCTCATTCTCTCAATCTCCGTTCTTCAATCAGTTTATTTCTGTCTACACCTCTCCACCATTCTGGGTTTATGTCAAATTTCTTCACAGCTATTTCCATCTCTCTCTGAAACAAATTGCCTGTTGACCTGTGAAAAATACCTGTTTTTAAAAGAAAATTATACGAGCATATCCGTAGCCTATAAAATTGAGTCTAATTACTTTATATGTTAATAGTTATTTATATATAACACTTATTGAGATATATATATATATATATATATATATGTATAATGAAATATATGTGTGTATTTATATATATATATATATATATATATATATATATATATATATATATATATATATATATATATATTATTTAGTTAACTGCCCAAACTCGCTCTCTGTTCTACCCAAGGTTAGCTGGTAGAGCTCGCCTTTTGTACAAATATTTGGTGCAATAAAGAATAAAATAAATAAATAAATTGCACAGCGCGAGGGGACACGAGTCGACCAGACAGCGGCAGTGCGTGTGTGAAAGGGAAGGGTAGAGTGAGTAGTAATACCTAATGCATTGTTTTGTACCGAGCTAGTTAAAAGAGTTCGCGTGAATATTGGCCCTATTGTCAGCTGATTTATTTACTTTAAATTCCACTGCTTGTTTTATTATCGTTTCATTTAGCTGTACTTACATAATGGAGCGTGAATAAAGCTATTAAAACGTTGTGAAAAGATGGCTTTTGTTTCATCGGAATCGATTTTATTTGTCAAAGGTAGCGTTAGTACTATCGTCTGTCTTCGTTTTCGGGAGCATTTTACAAGCACCCAGTATTATTTTCAGATATAATAGGACAGGATTGAGGAATTCCGATGAATACCAAACTAACACAATAAGTTATGGGTACACACACAAATTGAAAAACAAACTACAAAAGATTTGTCGGAATTTCACATTATTTTACATTGCTTTGAATAGTAATAAATGAGAAAATTTAAAACTTAAATTTTTTTTACTGCTGTCGACAATTATAGCTCGTTTATTAAGGTTTACGTCATCTTTTAGTTCTTGGCTAGAATATTTTAATATATTAGCTGAGATGGGAGAATGAATACATTGTAAACTAAAAATTTAAACTTTTTTTACATCGTCCAAACACGATAAAAACCAAAAAGTATATATTGAGGCAACAGAAAAAAGAACATCATTCATGTTCTTAGTTACCTTCGAGAAAGTTTTAATAAACAGTAAGTATTGTTAAATTTTGTACTTATATACATAATTTAATAATTTTTTTTTCTAAATTGGTAATTATTAAAAGAAAATGAAATAACATTTGTTAAGTACTTGTGTATAAACATTGGGTTTTTTTTTTATATACGAGGTATTTTTGACGAAGTACTTATTCTATTTATATGTGCCAACTGTGTTACTAGTACTTGCCTAGCACGTAGTAAAGAGCGAATATTGGGATATTATTGGGTTTGTGATTATCTACACCGTAAACCGTTTAGTTGCGGTGTAATGCATCGCATGGGTGGCGTAAGAAATGACAGATGGAAACTGAAGCATGAGATGAGCTGCAGCATCTCCTTGAAAACAACTCAAAATAATAAAAACTCTAGTTACCAATCCACCTACGTATCGTTCACCTGATGTCATCATATAACCCCCCCCCCCCTTATTTTGCAATCTATGTGATAGGCTGTAATAGTTGGACGGATTAATATAATATAAAGATAGCAATATCTAACTTAAATTTCATAAAACCGGTTTGACCTACAAAAGCAGGTTTGAAGCAACTAATGAACATTTATTTAGCTATAAGTTCCAATTCTCAGTTGAATTTTTACTGCTAGCTTGATGAAGCTCTGGTTCTAGAAATTTTCTGGGCTGTATTTTTTATTTGAAATCGCTCAAACTCAAAGCATTTTTTTTTCAATGATTGAATATTTTCTGGAGTACTCGTCGTTAGAAAGCCTCCCTTCCTCATAAAGAGTCATGATTTTAAGATTATCATCCACAACGAAACAGTTTAGACCAATTTTTATTATTTGATACGATGATTTAGTCACCAAAAACGGAAGTCATTCTTTCTTTTACTTGCGATGGTGATAGGTTTTCTTACTTTACTACACCACGATATTCAAACTTAGAGATTTTTTAAATTATTACAATTTATTGCATAAAACCCTCTAAAATAAAGTGACAAACCAAATATTTTGAAACTACACAGTATTTAATGGGGCTCGCATTTATTTTATAAAGAATAAAATTAGGATAAAGAAAAAAAACATACATTCGAATAATAAACTTCCTCTTCTTTTTAAGAAGTCTATTAAACAGTAAAATTACTTTATGAACCTTTGTATAGCGGTGGGTCACTACGGCTTGGCAATTGGCAACAAACGAGGGTGTGAGGTAGGGTGGAACTAACTCAAACGGACGGGTACATTTACATAAATTAACAAGTAAAATCTATGTATAAAATTTATTTTAAGTTCATTGTTATTTAGTTTTATAATTAAAGAATCCATTAATTTAACTTTCTTTGGTTTTAGATTTTCTGCCAACATGATATCTACAGTTTTCGTCTTCGTTATTTGTAAACTTTATTTGTTGAAAGGATATTCAAGGTCTAGACATGAACAATCGCTTTTACCTAATTGTCTACCTATATCAGCACATGCACATCTATTTATTGGAAGTGGTTTACGTAAGTAATTTTCAATTCCCCTAGATTTTTTCTAAATATAATAAAGAAGCAAGCAAAAGCATAATTAAGTAAAGTGACAGCCTAATGTACAAGCGTAAGTAAAGAAGTTCGCGGAATAAGGTGTTAGTGTGAAGTCGTTTTTTATACCGTCACTAATACTCGATAATACTAATAACCTAAAGTGGTTAGAGTGAGCATTTGTTAAGGGGCCCCTTTTCTAGCCCCCTCCCCGGCTAAGCGAGGAAAGCACTGCCTACCTGAATAGGGCTGCTTTGTCACTTTGTATGCTGCCGAGTCCGCTCTGTCACCCCGTTGCAGCAGAGCAGAAGCGACCACGATGTACACTACACCCCCAAGACCGCCTACGTGCAGGGGTCAGACAAAACTCAACGAGCATCACGTTAAGCCTCTCTACCTCCTCCCATCGCCGTAGGACATTGGTTATAGATCGGAGTCCTATTTGGAAGCAGGTCAATTGCGCAGGATATATTAACATCCACAAGTGTACGCGCGGACACAGGTGCACATACTCGTCTTTGTCCCCCTGGACCCAGTGTAACGGAGACCGTTACGACCGGAAAGGGACTCGGACAGATGGAACAGTGGGTATATCAGTGAAAAAGGTACAGGGGTTCAGTCCTTTTCCACACTCCCTTAGTCGCCTTCTACGGCACCCACAGGTAGAAATGAGGTGGTGCTATTCTACTCTGCCGCACACCACACGGCTAAATTGAAAAGAATGATAATTAGAAATGATACATAAATCACAAACTATAAATGATTATTGGCAATGGTTTAGATTTAACTGAAATTCCACGAATTGCTATAGCATATGAAAATCAAGCCAGTTTTTCAACAAAAGCCTTGACAGAAAATGAGCAACAGGTGTGCAATTAATTGAATAGAAAAGGTTAAATAGAATTTCTAACGGGAAAATTTACTACTAAGGAACTTGGCTTCTTCAAGGGCATTAGAAACAGGGATTGGCAAAGAAGGTTTTTCGGATATTGAAGTAATGAGCGATGAAAGAGGCAAGCCGCTTGTTACGAAGTCACCTTTAAATGGAAATACTTTTATCACCATTACAGATATAAATACAATTGTTGCAGCCCAAATGATCTTGAAATATACCTAATATTTTCCTACAAAATAAAGGTGGAATTTTTTGCTTTCAGGAAAGCATCGCAAGACATATGCAAGAATTAGCAAGAAGGCAATTCAACACAATTTGAAAAATGAACAAGCTAGATTAGGGGCTAATTGCGAACTATTTGCAGTTGTTAAAGCAGATGGTTATGGACATGGTGCAGTTGAAATAGCAAAAGTAGCAAGAGATGCTGGGGTAACAGGATTTTGTGTTGCATTGTTAGGTGAGGCATTAGAATTAAGACAGGCGGGAATCAGAGAACCAATCTTAATTTTAGGAATAGTTGATGTAGCGTATGTTGCTATAATTGCAGCTGAGAAGTTAAGTGTAACCGTTGGTAGCTTGGAGTGGTTAAAAAAAGCGAAGTTGAAGATGAAGAATCAAAACAACAGCTTACGTATTCATATAGCATTAGACACTGGCATGGGAAGAATTGGCTTTAGGACAGTTTCAGAACTAACTGAGGCAGAAAATACGGTATCAGATTCAAAATTATTTGAATTTGAAGGAGTTTATACACATTTTGCTACTGCAGATGAATCAGATGAAACAAAATTTAATAAACAACTAGAAATATTTAATAAACTAATTAACAAATTGAAAAACAAACCTAGATTCATTCATGTTGCTAATAGTGCAACGGCACTCTGGCATCAGCAAATACCAACTAATTTAGTTCGCTACGGAATTGCTATGTATGGTTTAAACCCGTCAGGACATGCATTGATATCGCCAGTATCTTTAGAGCCGGCAATGGAATTAATCAGTGAGTTGATACAGGTTAAAGAGATACAGCCAGGAGACACTGTCAGTTACGGTGCTACTTACGAAGCAACCGATTGCGAGTGGGTAGGAACAATTCCAATCGGTTATGCAGACGGATGGCGCAGAAGCTTACAAGGACAAACCGTTTTGGTTGATGGGCAGCGATGTGAAATTATTGGTCGTGTATGTATGGACCAATGCATGATTCGTTTGCCAAAGGAATATCCAGTAGGAACGACCGTTGTCTTAGTTGGGAAAAGTGGAACAGATCAAGTGACGATGGAAGAGTTAGCAGAACACTTAGACACAATTAATTATGAAATCATTTGTGGCATTACTTTAAGAGTGCCTCGAATTTATGTTTAACTTGTGAACATGTGAACTGAACTTCTGGTAAATTTTAAATATGGCATATATTTCAAAAAGGACTATTAAAAAGTTTTATTTTTCATGGTATCATAAAACGAAGGCTGTAAAAAGATATAAATTTTAAAATAGCATTGTTTGGAGAGTATGGATCCTGGAGAAAAAAAAATCAGATTCTTTAGAAATTATATTAGATGGTCTAATTTATCAGAAATTGATATTTGTAATGAACCTGAAGGTCTAAAGAGAAATAACGCTTATGACTAAACGGGGATAAGTTCATTTTCCATGCTTATCAGCGGTAGTTGAATCGAAGCAAGGTGGAATGCGCCATGTTTTATTTATCCAAAATAATGTTGAAAAGTTCTATAGTAGTTAGTGTTGCAGCTATCACTGCTAAAATTCAAAAAACAAACATGCCTATTCACGTAGAGGTTTCAGCTGAAAATCATGACTTATAAAGAGATTCAACCATCATAATAGAATAAATTAGAAAAATTGACAAACAACGATTTAAAGATATCATCATCATCATCATCATTACAGCCCTTCACAAGTCCACTGCTGAACATAGGCCTCCCCCAAAGAATGCCACAAAGCACGGTCCTGAGCCACCTGCATCCATCGACTTCCTGCATGTTTTACCAGGTCGTCACTCCATCTCGTGGGGGGACGCCCTACACTTCGCCTACCGGTACGAGGCTGCCACTCGAGAATCTTTCTTCCCCATCGGTTGTCGGTTCTTCGAGCTATATGGCCGGCCCACTGCCACTTCAGCTTACTAATCCGTTGGGCTATGTCGGTTACTCTGGTTCTACTGCGGATATCCTCATTCCTAAGTTTATCACGCAGAGAAACTCCGAGCATAGCCCTCTGCATAGCTCGCTGAGCGACCTTGAGCTTCCTCATACGGCCAGCAGTGAAGGACCACGTCTCAGTTCCATAAGTCATCACTGGCAACACGCACTGGTTGTACAATTTCGTTTTCAGGTTTTGAGGTATGTCTGACGAGAAGATGTGTCGTAGCTTCCCGAGCGCTGCCCAGCCGAGTTGAATCCGTCGATTGACCTCTCGGTCGAAGTTGGACTTACCTAGTCGGACTATTTGTCCCAGGTAAACATACTCGTCAACAACTTCGAGCTTAGTGCTCCCAACAACTACCGGCATAGGTGTGACATGGACATTGAACATGATCTTTGTTTTGTCCATGTTCATCTTAAGACCTATCCGTTGGGAAACACTATCGAGGTCATTGAGCATAGTGCTTAGGTCCTCCAGCGATTCTGCCATAAGGACTATATCGTCGGCAAATCGAAGGTGAGTGATGTACTCGCCATTGATGTTGATACCGTATCCTTTCCAGTCCAGAAGCTTGAAAACGTCTTCCAATGCAGCGGTGAAGAGTATCGGGGATATGACGTCACCCTGTCTTACACCTCTCTGCAATTGGATAGGTTTCGTACTCTGGTTCTGTACTCGGATAGCCATCGTAGCCCTACTGTACAAGCACTTCAACACTTCGATATACCGACAGTCAACTTGGCACCGCTGAAAGGACTGCAGCACCGCCCAAATTTCGACGGAATCAAAGGCTTTCTCATAGTCCACATACGCCAGACATAGTGGCAAATTGTACTCTTCGGACTTCTGTACAATTTGCCGAAGGGTATGTATGTGGTCTATGGTGCTAAAGCCCTTTCGGAAACCGGCTTGTTCGGGAGGCTGGAAGTCGTCAAGTCTGCGCGCGAGACGATTCGTAATGACTCTCGAAAACAGCACGTAGACGCGGCTCAGAAGGGAAATCGGTCGGTAGTTCTTCAAGAGAGCGTTGTCACCTTTCTTGAAGAACAAGACCACCGCACTTCTGCTCCACGCCTCCGGTGTAATGCCACCATGGAGGACGGAATTAAAGAGCTTCTGAAGGACTTCAAGTACCGGTCTTCCACCCGCTTTCAGAAGCTCCGTTGTAATTCCATCCTCGCCTGGGGCCTTACCGTTTTTAAGGTGCTGGAGAGCCATTCTAATCTCGCTTAGACTGACGTCCGGGATATCTTCAGAATAGTGTCGGATGAGACTCGCTCTTGGATCGTTACTCACACTTGCGTGTGGCTCCAACGATGACGTGTACAGCTGCCCATAGAACCTCTCAATCTCACTCAAAATCTCAGGTGTCCCGGAAACGATGCTGCCACATTCTGTCTTCAGCTTTGACAGGTGGCTCTTTCTGGCAGACAGATCTCTGGCAAAGTTTTTGGAGCCTTGGTTCCGCTCGATCGCTTCTTCAATACGAGCTGTATTGAAGTTGCGTAAGTCCCGCCGCATGCATTTGGAGATCTGTCTGTTCAGATGCCTGTATGCTGTCAAGTCTGTTGAAGAATGTAGCTTCATCTCCCGTCTAACAGCCATGAGATTAAGAGTGTGATCGGAGAGTTTTTGTGTTCTTCTGCGGCGGGTCTTGCAGAACTTAGCTCCGACCGCATGGACAGTTTCCACGAGCTTGTCATTCATATCGTCCACTTCATTGCAGTCTTCTAGGCACTGAAAACGGTTTTGTAACTCGAGCTGAAAGGTTTCGGGACTTTGGAACAGAGCACGAGGGGGACGGAGCGTTGACTTCATTAGACGAGACCTCTCCAACTTAACGTTTAGGTTCAGTGTGCCTCTAACCATTCGGTGATCGCTACCAGTTTTCACCCTCGCGATCACGGAGACATCACTGAACAGTTGTCGTCTGGTCGTCATAATGAAGTCAATCTCATTTTTTTGTCGAACCGTCGGGGCTCGACCAGGTCCACTTCCTGTGGGGCCGCTTCTGGAAGAAAGAGTTCATCATAAAGAGTCCCTCTTTCTCCATGAAGTCGGCCAGCTGCTGGCCCCTTGGGTTCCGTTGCCCTATTCCAAATTTCCCTACTTTCAGCTCACCGTTCTCTCTTGTGCCTAGTTTTGCATTGAAGTCTCCCATTAACACCGTATATTAGGTTTTGGAGGAATGCATGGCTCTAGAGATATCCTCATACATTTCCACCACCTCTCCATCGGAGTGTGCCGAGGTTGGTGCGTAAACCTGAATACCGTTTGGTGATTCTGAGTATAAGGTACGCAACCCTCGTCGACACACTCCCGATCTTTACAACGTTGTTAACGAGAGACTTGTGGACGATAAATCCGACACCTCCTTGGGACAGATGGTCGCCCTCCCGGTGATAGAGCAAGTTGCCGGATTCGAGGATTACCGTGTCCTCCCCCTCTCTTCGGACTTCGGATAATCCTATAATATGCCAGCGCAACTTGTCTATCTCTTCTTCCAGCTCCACGATCTTCTCGTCAGTCCTCAGGGTGCGTGCGTTGTACGTTGCCAGGTCGAGTCGTCTAAGGTGGCAACCGAACCTCCACCGGAGATTCTTAGCACCCCCTGCCCCGCCGTTACCATGGTCGCCACCGTAGCCAGGAATAGCGGGGCCGCCGGGGACTGGGGGCCGTCTCTTCGTAACTTTCATTATGGGGGGTATATTGCCATAGTTGCCACGCTTGGCGAGCGGGTTGGCAACCGCAGTTTTTTTATTGTAATTTTGGCTATTATCAGGAAGATGCTGCTGCCCATCTCCTGCCTGTTTCCCTTTGTCGCCTTTTACGACACCCACGGGAGGATATGGGGTAGTGGTATTCTTGACCGCCACTACACGGTTTAAAGATATAGTGTAACTCAAATTGATTTCCAATTGATGCAAAAGGTTGACGAAGCTTTAGAAATCAGTATAGGACTTTCAGGGAATATTTGATACTTATATAAAATTCTCTGCGACACACAAACAACAAGAACGAACTAGAATTGAAAACAAACACTTTAGTCAAAAATGCTATTGTTGCTGCATTATAAATATGTTGCGATAACAGCATTCTTGGCTCTACTATAATTTGAAGCACTGCAAATAAGATTTGCTGAGATGTTTAACCATCTCGTAGTTTTCAATAAAAAATAAATTATTGGAGTTGTATCTGGCGTATTTATATGTAATTTATTTCTTTTCATCCCTGGGCATGTATGATTTAATATTTGGAGTTGGGCGATCTTCAATTGCGTTGCTCATTATGAGTATTTTGATTCGGAAAGAGGACGATGTCTGGATTAAGATCATTATAAATACAGCAGTATTTATGATAAAAATGGCAATTATTGCCGTTTTGGGCAACTTACCTCACCATTAAACTTGGGAAAATGTTTTTTTTTTATTCTTGCAATGCCCGTAATGCAAGTGTTAAATGATTATCTAGATTTTTACTGTAAAATTGAAAAGTAATAAGAAGCCCTTAAACGAAGGAAATAATTCATCGTTTAGGGAATTCTTATTTATTCTAAATCCAAGTTTATTAAGATTTTCAATAGTTTGATCAGATTTTTCTTCTTCAACGCCAGCTGACAAGGTAATTATTGTGCGACGGACCAGATCATCTAGTTCAACATCTATGGTAACACAACTGGAAACCGTACAATAATTGTTGATAATTTTCGTCATATTTTTTAAATCTACTTTTAAACCAGAAGAAACTATCCTTAGTGTTTAGCTTACAACCTTCAACAAATTTTTTGTAGAACATTTAAAAGGGAACAATGGGTTAAAATTAAAATCCATAAAAACGATTGTGTACGTCTACCACGTAAAGATAAGGAAATGCTTTGATTGAAGAAAAAAAAGCACTTTAAAGAAGGAAACATTTGGAGAAATAAATTTAGTGGCGTTTTTCAATAGGTGAGTAAACATATATCTCCGCCGTTTGCTCTATGACGTAAATATAAATTTTATAAATATTGTCTCGCAAAGTACTTCCAGTTTTGTCTGGAATTGGAATACAACGGTAACCAGACCGTGTCTCTAACGGCTGTTAACTTTTTCTTAGGCAAACAAAGTGATTTTGTTAACATAATCGTATCGTCCTTTATGATTTAATGGGTTGATGAAACTACTACTCCTTTGATAATAACATGTAAATGGTTAGAGTAA